ATTGATCATTTCAAGGTCAATACATGTGATCACAAATGGCAAAATTTCATATTTCTTTCATGGAAAATTGTAATACTGCAGTATTCCATTGTGTATATATGCCACATCCTTATCCATTCATCTATCCATGGGACTTGGGTAGTTTCCATATACTGATCAGTGATTTACGGCTGCATTGTACATAGTATTGCATATATCTTTGAAATTACTGTTTTTATTTCCTTCAGATAGATAAGTGAAATTACTGAATCAAGAATCCCCAATACTGTTTTCTATATTAGTTGCACCAATTTACCTTTCAACCTACAGTGTGCAAAGTTTCTTTCTCTTCACATCCTCACAACACTTTCTTGTATTTTTGATGCAGGTCATTCCCACAAGTGTGAGATAAGATCTCAATGTATTTTTGTTTTGAAATTTTTGTTTGAAATTCCTTAATAGTAACTGACAGTGAGCATTTGTTTGTTTTCTTATTGTTGAGCTTATGAATTCTTAAAGAGTTCTAATAAAGTGGTCTCATTTTCTTCTTTTGCCTGACTGTCTAGTTTTCCCCAGCATCATTCCTTGTTTACGGATTCTTTCATTTTCTTCCTCCTCTTTAATGCACTTTTGTTGTCTAATGTTATTACTTTTTTTACTGTGAGATCCCTGTCAAATTAAAGCAGCTATAGCTGTTTTTAATGTTTATTTCCCTTTGGCTTTTCTGTTGTACCTAAATATTTTATACTTTATTCCAAATATAGCTAAAGCCTTCTGATTCAATTTAATAATTTACTCAAGGTTTTCTGGTACTTCTTTTCTTTGTATGTAGTAGAACACTTTTCAACAATTCTTGTGAGATGCATCTGGTTGATGAATTCATCAGATTTGAGTTGCCTGGGAAGGTCTATATCTCTGTCATGTTTGAATTATAATATTGGTGGGTGGAGTGTTCTGAGTTGGTGGTTTTTATCTTTTGGTGTTTTGAATATATACCACTCTTTCTTGGCCTACACACTTTCTGCTGAGAAATCTAATGATAGCCTGGCGGGGGTGACTATATATATAAGGCACACTTTCCCCCCACCCCAGCAGCCTTTAATATTTTTCCTTATTAACTTTTGATAATTTTACAATGATATGCCTTGGTGTAGGTATTTTGTAGTTAGATAGTTAGATGCTTTCTTAACCTTATAGAATTCTATAATTATTTCTTTCCTGATGCTTGGGAAACTCTTGTCTACTTTCTCTTTAAGTAAGTTCTTTGTTGTCTTCTCCCTGTCTTTACTTTCTAAGTACATATGGATACCCTTTATCCTATGCATCCCTTCATAGTTTAGTTTAGTCTATTATCCTGATAATTTTTTCCTAAAACTTCTTTAACTCCTCTCTTTTACTTGAGCCATTTCTATATTTCTATCTTAAATTCCACAAATTATTTCCTCTATAAATATCTGTATTCTTCTTTATGCTTTTCACTGTAGTACTCATTTATTGAATTATTCATATCCAAATACTTCTTAATATATTTAATCTCTTTAATGAAGAACACCATGTGATGATTATCTTCCTAAGTTTTTTTTTCTTTTTCTGTGTTTATATAGTTTTGTTTTTTGAAACTCAAAAAACTAGTTTGAATTCTTTATACATTAGATTTAAAAATTCATTGTCTTTAACTTTGTTTTCTGAGATTTTTTGTTCTCTTTCTGCCATATAGTGTGGCTGTAATTTCTAATCCTGTTAGATGTAGACTTTTCTACCTGCAAATCTGATTGGTTAAAATAATCTATTTTTTCCTAATCCAAATAAGCGATGCTTTGACTTTAGTTCTGGGTTTATCTCTCCTATATCAAGGAAACATAAGGAAAGGAGAAAACAAGAAGGGGGCCATAGTCCCAGTAATGCTATTGTGGATACAAATACAGGGACATCATCCTGGACCGCCTCTCCTCCCAAAAGCCCAGACTAGATCTTATTCTGTGCCAAGTGTCAAAACTATAGATCTGTGTATTAGTCATCAAGTGTCATTAAGAGCACATTATCTTAAGTTGGTGGGAAGGAAGAGGCACTGTGGTTTTTTGCTTTAGTTAGTCAAATTTGCTGGATCATTGAGTATAATATCTTTTTTTCTTTGCTGTTAAGTTCATTGGGGGGGAGACATGGGCTTCCACGTTGTCTCTGTGCTACCCCTGCTTGTCTTCAGATAGAGTTAGTGATAACCCCCCCCCACACACACACACACCAGCAGCCTTGTACCAGCTCCAAAACCTTGCCAAGTACCAATCTACTGACCTTCAGATATAGAAACACATGTGGATCATTGGATATCCAGGAATGATGACCAGTAGAGTTACATTTGCATTTTAAGGATCCTGGGGTTGTGGCTTAAAGAGGAAGCATGAGTGGTGGCTGTTTACTCTACCATGTTCATAGCAATGCTTTCCTTTTCTTTGTGTTTTTAAAATATTTTTCTGATTGTCTATTATGAGCATATGTTAATGTTGTAACCAGTAAAATAATATTAAGCAAGGAAGTATAATTTTACCCTAAAATCACAGGTTTGTTTCCTTTTTCTCAGTTTAGCCTTTGAAATTACCTGCAGGCTACCTGTTTCTGTTTTGTTGTCCTACTGTCACTTAAAATGAACAGTTATAAAACTGTTTTATAACTGGTCTTCCTGAAAAATACCATGTCTTAAACAGTTATAAAACTGAAATAAAAATTTTCCCAGTCTAAACTACACATACCTATTTCTATCTTTTTATTGTAAATTTCTAAATCCAAACTTTTTTTTCAATCCACCTCCAGGTATTCTTTTGCTCAATGTTTTTCCCTCCAGTGGATATCTTTATCATCTCAACTTACAGTAGTTCCTACATGGGAACTACTTATACTTTCCCAGAGCAATCTTCCAAAATATAACATATTGCTTCACATTTTATATTTGCTCAAAAACCAATTCATGCCTTCTTTCAAAAAGAACAATTTCAGGTCTAGGGATGCATATATACAAATGAGTTTAGGATATCTTATTCCAGGAAGCAAAGAAGTATTCAAATGATGACAGGAATATGTCAAAAAGCACATTAACTGACCCGAAGGAAGATTATTACTGGACATATTTGAACCATAGTAACAATTATGAATTTTAACACATTGGTTAAAAATATCTGTGAGTTCACAATAATACAGAAAGAAGAAGAAGACAAGTACATTGGAAATGGAGGTTCTGTGCAGAAAAGTGATAATGTGAATGCTGCTATAATCATAGAATTGTAAAACTAGCATACTGTAAGCAACTCTTGATAAGTGGGTGTTGAAAAGACATAAGAATCACTAGTGTGTTTCATATCCCTCAGTTGAAATGCCTTCACACAATAAGATATGTCTGTTTTAAAATATTACCTTTCAAATTATTTGCTTATTATAAAATGTATGTTTATATATCAAAGGACACTACCTTGACCAACAAATCAAGGGTAGCATCACCAACACCAGTAAGAGGCCTATAATGTATCCCCACCAAGCAAGTGTTCATGCCAAAATGTTTATCAGTTCAGTAGTGGGGAAACCCCAAATTGTGGAATATTCTACAGATAAGTGGCTGAGAGTCTTCAAAAATAACACAATAGTCTAAAAGTAGAAAAGCAACAAGACTAGTTGTTGTTGAGACTAAATATGTGTGACTATGTCTAAACTTTCACTGGAATCTATACGAAAAATTAAAAACAGTTGCAGAATAATAGAATATCCTTATTCTAAGGCAGTATGTAGTAGTGTTTTTAGGGATGAAATAGCACAACATGTGCAAACTACTTGTAAGTGGTTTAGCTACAAACGTGTATAAATGAAGAAATATTTACAATAAAGTGAGAGGAAAAAGAGAACAAGAAAAAATTGTAAAATATCTCAAAAGATATGTCTAGGTAAAGGGTACACAGCAGTTCATTGTGCTATATTTTCAACTTGTTAGGCATTTAAAATGTTCTTAATAAAAGCTTATAAGTGGTAGAGCCTCTTTCCCTAAAGGTTAGAAACTAGTCCCTTGCTTCAGCTTTAAAGGCCATCTCTGGCCTGACCTATCAAGATGAACTCACTTCATAAGCAAATCAGGAGCTAAACTATATCCTATCCACCCAGTTTCTCCCATACCACTTTAATTTAGTCTTCAGAAACTTTTCCTCTCTACTCCTCAGCAGGAATTCCCTCTTAGATCAAACCAATCTACTGTCACAATTCCATTTATACCTATGGGCTCATGAACATTGCTCGTTATCTCTATTTAAATGCAAATATCCTCCTTCCCATCAATCCCATCCTCATTTGACTATACCTGACACCTAACATTTCCCCTCATCTGCCTATATGTGGCAATATTCAAATATCACCTTTATCAGAGAATACAGAACTCATGGTTTGTGATTCTTTAAAAAAATGCATACTTCCTGAAAAATACCATGTCTTAAACAAATAAGTTAATTGACCACTGTGTTTGTGACCTATATATATTTTTTATTTATTTATGCATACAGAACTGGGGTCAAGCCAGAGGTGCAGGGGTGGTGAGAGGCTTCACTAGAGACAGAGTGGGGAGCAGAACAGGCTGACTGATGAAATACACTGCTGAGGGGAGCAGTGGGCAGGTCAGGAGAGGTCTGCCGCACCATGTGGGTCACCTCCGGGGCTGGGGATCAAACTCGTACTGAAGTGGCTTTAACTTCTTAGTTTTGTGCTTTAACCCACTGTACCACCAGGGAGGGCCCCAAAGTGACCTATATTTTAACATAAAAATTACTGAATGAAAGGAAGGAAATTTAGTAAATTAGCTGGTTTTCTCATGGGATGACAAAACAGTCACTTTTAATATCTAGTAAATGTGGATTAAGTGTTTATTTTTATGTGGCCATTTGGTGTTATATAGGCTGCAATAAACTTGGATGAGTAGGAGAAAGTACTTGTCAGATCATTTATCAGCAATTTATTTATATTATCCTAATCTCCTTCTTCTATATTTAATTTAGACACTACTGTCAATTATCTTTTCTGTCCTTGGAATTGCCTTCTCTGGATACTGCCTGGTCATATCTGCTTTGGGCCTTGTTCAGGGACCCTATTGCCGCACCCATAATGGCTGGGAGTATCCCTTTGAAGACACTGCAGGACGGTAAGGAATAATTTTCCAAATCAAGGAGGTTTGAAAGTTGGAAGCACCTGGTCTCATAATGATACATATTTACATGATCACTCTCAGGATTACTTTGTGTGGGTACTTTAGTAAACAATACTCTATTAATTTACTAAAATCCAAACCAGTTTGTTCTGACATAGACCCTTCACATTTAAACAGTTTAGATGTTTTCCTCCATTGTTTTAATGCCATGTGCATTTACTATTTTGAGACTGCCATGAAGATATCCAAATGAAAGATGTGTTTCTTTTGTACTTTAGAACAGGAATTTGTGGCTATTGTGTTCTGACAACATTGGATCTGGGACTTGAGTGGTTCTGACAATTCACTTTTGCACTATGGTCAAGTTGGACATGGGATCTGTTACAGATATGAAAAGGTTGTGGCTACATAGTGACAGAAGCAGGTGAGGTGAGCAGTACAGCCTGAGATCTAGGGACATGATTAGGAGCAATAGTTTGTAGAAGTTACTAGGAGCTTATCTAGCATGTGCTGAAGAATAGTGTAAGAAGGTAGCCTTGTTCAGGAGTGTGGATCAGAAAGATGTTGTGTGACCCAACTCTAGAAAGCAGTTGCGTCACACTGGCACTGGGCTGGGCATGTTGATTACCAGCACCTGCAGAAACAGCTGGAGGTGGCAGGTCCAGCAGATATAGTGGAGAGGTACACTGAATCTTTTGTGTACTGTGATAAGAAATCTAATAGAATAATCTGAAAAAGTACGTAACATTCCCTGGGGAAATTACAATTTCTGTTTATATATATGTATATATGTATGTATGTATGTATGTGTGTATGTATGTATGTGTATGTATATGTATGCATATATACTATGCATGAATGAAATAATAAGATATTTGTCTTTTTCCTTCTGACTCATTTCACTAGCTTAACCATTCTAGGTCCATCCATATTGCAAATAGATTTCATCTTTTTATGACTAAAGTATTCCATTATGTAAATATATTTTTTTAAATCCATTTATCAGTCTTTAATCACTTAGATTCTTTCCAGTTTTACCTATTACAAATAATGTTGAAGTAAATATGGGATCTATTTATCTCTTCAAACTTATATTCTTTTTGTTTAAATACCCAGAGATAAGATAACTGGGTCTTCTGGAATATCTACTTTTAATTTTTTGAGTAATCTCCATAATGCTTTCCATAATAGGTACAAAAATTTACATTCCCACCAACGAAGTTCTCTTCACACATCAACTTCAACATTTGTCACTTCATGTCTTTTTAAAAATAGCCACCTGACAGGTGTGAGTTTATATCACATTGCTTTGGCTTTCATGCTTCTAATATTAAGAGATAAAGAATATATTCACATGTGCCTACTGGCCATTTGAATGTCTTCTTTTCTGAAGTATCCAGATTCTCTGGACAGATTTCATGAAGTTGCTTGGTTTTTTTAATTGTTGAGCTAGATCAATTTTTGGTATATATTTTTTAAAGATTTATTTTTATGTACTTATGTATATAAAAACTGGGGTACAGGGTAGAGGTGCTGGGGTGAAAAGATTCACCAGAGACAGAGTGGGGAGCAGAACAGGCAGATTGACAGAAATACAATGCTGAGAGGAGCAGCAAGCAAGAGAAGAGAGGTTGCTCTCCTACATGTGGGTCAGCTCCCTGGCCAGGGATCAACCTCATGCTGCAGTGGCTGACAATAGCTTAGTAGCCCTGAGATATTAACCCCTGTACCACCAGGGAGGTCCCCAGAGTTCTTGGCATATTTTAGACGTCAACCCATAGTTCATTGAATAATGTACAAATATCTGCTCCCATTCAGTAGGGTATTTGTTTTAATGCATGTTCTTTTGGAATACAAAGCTTTTTAGTTCGATATAACCCTATTTGTTTTACTTTTGCTTTTGCTTCCCTTGCTATAAGATTTGAGCCCTCCCCCCCAAACATATCTATAAAGCTGATGTGTGGAAGTATGCCATCTATAATATTTGTATGTATTTTGGTTTCAAGTCTTACATTCAAATATTTAATCCAGTTCTAATTGCTTTCTGTGGACGTTGTTAGCTGTTCTATGCTATTTGTCTTAGTATAGCCCTCTTTTCATTTGATATTCAAGTGTTAGCTCTTAGCTTCATGGTCTTGTATATTCACTTCTTTTCCTATTTTGAAAGTTTTCCACTATGATAGCTCTGAATAAGCACTTCAGAGAGCTTCATAGTACTGTGTTTTAACCCTTTGTGTCACCAGGAGGAGCCCCCTACAGCTACTTTTAATATCTTTCACTGCCTTATTTGTCTCTGACTGATTTTCCAGGACCTAGTTTTTAAGATTTATATTAACATTGTTTTATATAGTCTTTATTCAGTAGATTCCCTACTTTTGTGTCCTTATATATGTCTCACAACTTCTATTCTTCTCTCTGCTTTTCTATCTTATGTTTGAATGTTCCTTGCTTCCAAGGCATGTGTATTGCTTTACTCTCTTTTTGGTTGGGGCACTGCTGGTTAGTTTCATTTCTCTTCTTTGTTTACCTTAGTGTGAAAGCACAGGAGCCTGTGCTTAAATATTTGGTCTGAGACTTAATGAAGAGTGAAAATGGTCACCTCTGCCTTCTTTCTTCACCTCTCCAAGGTGAGCTCCATTCAGAGCTACAGTTGTCCTCATTTCCCACCCAACGTCCCTGCTACACCATCCTGTCAGTTCATGTTCACCAAGCTTGCATCTCCTGGCAAGGGGACAGCTCCAAATGGTCCACAGAGCTCAACTGCTCTGTGGAAAACATGAGAAGGCTATGTTTTCTTGCCCAGCAATGAATGGAGGCAATGGCTGCCCTGTGACCACCACTGCCATCATACTACATGAGGGACATGGGCTATGAGTGCTGAGTGGCTACTTCAGTCTTTCTGAGGGCATGGCAAGATTTCTTACTATTCTCTTGTTTATCTCATGAGTCATCCCAACATGGCTGCGTAAGAAGACTTTGTTTTCTTACCTCCAGAAAGGGATGGAAGAGCTTTCCTTGATGACACTGGCATGGAATGCCCATGACCTAGACTGGACCTGTGCCCACACATAACTGCCTTCCCTCTCTGAAGTCACTCCAGTGACTTTAAAAGTGTCCCAGCTAGTCCTGCAGACCAATAGATAACTTATCCTCAGCCTGTTCTACCACCCTGGATACTTATTTTCCTGTCAAACTCACCTTTGCCTTACCTGTCTCCTTCCTTGCAGTAAATCACCAACTTTAGTTTAAGGCCTCCAGGGAAAAGTCCTGAGACTCTGTCAGGGAATTTAGCAAATATTTCTTATATTTTTTTAGGGCAGAAGGTGATCCCAACCTCTCTATCCCCCCATGATATTAGTAGCTATGTTTGGGGACATTTTGGAGACCAATTTTCCATATTGACTTAGTTGAACAGAGCAACTGTTTAGTTGAACTTCCATAGCAGAAATAATGGCACAAATCAGTTAAGTAAATTCATAGTATTTTTAAAGATTATCTTGGGAATAGTTTATATTTCATAATCCTGTGCCAACTTAAACAGCCAAGGCTTTCAATTTGTTTGCATTCCCAACTCATAATCTAAATCTTCTTAAACAGCTACAGAGCAACAGTGTTCTACAGCAGATTTTCTTACACTGTGGAGCATACCCCAGCAACAGCAACACTACCTGGGAAATTTGAAATGCAGTCTTGAGAACCATTCAGGTCTTCTGGGTCAGATATACACGAGAGTTCTCAGTAACCTGCATTTTTACAAACCTCCCAAATAAACCTGAATTATGCTTGATTTTGAGAACTGTTGTTCTAATGGGATTTGGGACAGAGTCTAGGAATTTACTGTAGCATTTGTTTTTGCTATTTTACCAAGTATGTGATTTAATATCCAGCATAAACTCAACCTTGTCCTAGCAAAAAGGTTAACTTCTGGATTGTTAGATAATAGGTGATCTTTATCCCTTGATACTGCCCTGGGCTATCCTTTGTTGCTATTGAGTCTTCATTAAATAACTTACCTCCTATAATTGTCTCTGAGGCACACACCATGTTTATAAATATAGTCTGGTTCTACAATACTATGTATTCAACATCTGCATCTGAATGAGTTTTAAAATATGTTAATTCATATTTAATAATGGTATGTATTTTAATCATAAGTTAATTTCCCAAACATATAAATACTAGTTATCTTGTTCCTTGAGCCAAATATCTAGTCTCAGCCATGGGTTTTGTTGACCATTTCCTTCCTTTAATAGTTTTCTTACAGATTCCAGCATATGGATCCAGTGTCTGGAGCCTGCACATGTAGTAGAATGGAACATCATTTTATTTTCCATCCTCATAACTCTCAGTGGGCTTCAAGTGATTGTTTGCCTCATCAGATTAGTTATTCAGTTAATCAAGACACTGTGTGGAACCTATTCAGTCATCATTCAGGTAACAGGCCCCCAATAACACCTGTACTTTCTCACTTCAAGATTCAGTGAGTCTTTTTGAATAGATTTCCATCATGTTCTTTCTATCCTACTTGCTTTTGTCTTTACTGAAGCTCTGATATCTCAATTTTTTTTCTGATATTCTAATCCATCTGTTGGCTTGTATATATGGATTAAGTCAATGGAATAATTATAAATCTGCTTTCCATATTAAATAGTGAAAACAGCACATGGAGTTTTGAGAGATCACCATTTCAGTATTCTAAGGAGAAAGTGAGCAAAGCACAAAAGTTCTTAACATTTATTAGAATTTCCCTTTTCATTAGATAATTGAAAACTCATAGCCTTGCATTGAAATACTCTCTCTTTCAAATACTGCCACATTCAGCTAATAATCTTTCTTTATAATGAGTTATTAGTAAGTGGTTTTGAGGAGAAATATGTCTTCATCTTATCGACACTGCTTCTACTTGCTAAAATACTAATGCTAATTTGGTTATGGCTGAAACTGCTATCCTATTCAGCAGATATGTGAATGTATTTATTTAAAAACATATAATATATGCCTTTCCTAGTAGTTTTAAATAGACATTTTTCTATTATAGCATGTTTTAAATATGAATTCTAACTTAAGATTGTTATCTACATTATGGAAAATCAAAAAAAAATTACTACTTACTGTATTTTGTTTTCTTGTAGCCTGGAGTCATTTGATTAAGAGCAAGAAAGTTTTCATGATTAACAACTATCTTATATCTACTTGAAGACAATATTCAAATGAAGATGTTTGGTATTTATTTTGCCTATTTGTGAAGTTTGCAGAAGTCGTTGCAGGAGCCATTCTTTCATTTAGAATTTTTTCTAAGCTATGAGTCAGGATCTTTAGAAATGTTTATATCTTTTGATCAAGCAAATCCATTTCTAATAAAATATATTATGAAAATAGGAATTTAAGATAAAAATTTATGCAAATACACATATAACAGCATTATCTAATATTCTGGAAAATTATAAATACCCAAAAGCCTAATTTTAGAAGGATTAAATAAAATATGGTACACTAGTATACTTAGTTGTTAGAAATGGTGTTATACAGTCATTGCAAATGATAGTTTAAAAATTATGAATACTGCTATGTGAAATTGCAGATTTAAAATTTATGTTTAGGCCCTCCCTGGAGGTGTAACGGGTTAGGACACAGCATTGCAAGCTGGCCACAGCCACTTCAGTGTAAGTTCGATCCCCCGTCCAGGAGGTGATCCTCATGGCGTGGCAGACCTCTCCTGACCCTCTTGCTGCTTTCCTCAGCAATGTACTTCGTTGATCTACCTGTTCTGCTCCCCACTCTGTCTCTGGTAAAGCTTCTCACCACCCCTGCACCTCTGGCTTGTACCCCAGTTCTGTCTGAATAAATAAATAAATCTTTAAAAAAACATAAAAAAATATGGCTAATGTATAACTATCTAAAACTAACAAAACATTAAACACTCCAAATAATTATAACATAAAGACTAAATATGGAAGGCTTTATACAAAAATGTAATCTGTGGTTGATTTTGGTTAGAGGTGACACTTCATACCTTGATATTTTCAAGTTTTCTTTATTATATTTTATAATTAAAGCATTTATTAAAACTTATTTTTGCTATTATTTTTTAATTTTGAATGTTTAAAATACACTTTCCTCAACTCTGAATAAAAATCACAGAATTTCACTTCAAGCAATGGACAGTGAAAAAAAAAGGTCATAAGCCAAAAAAATTCAATATAGGACAGCAAAAAATGTTAGAAAAGAGATACTAGGACTAAATTCTCCTGTAAAAATAACTGATAAAGGAGAAATTACAAGATTCTGGCAGGACCCAGATGTTTTGGACAAAAATGGGGAACCAACAGAAGCAGAAGGAGGTGAGAGTGACAGGATAAGAGAGGGAGATAATCTCTCCAGACCCTTCCCCACTCCCTCAACAGCCCAGAACATTTTTCCCAGGAAGGAAAAGAAGGAGATTATGTTTGGAAGCAGTGGGAAATCACTGAGTCATCTAAAAACCTCAGAAGGTGGGGCAAGCAAAGGTCAGCAGGATAATGTGCATAGGCTCTGGCAGGTCCCAAGCCACAACTGGAACTGAGTTGATGCCTGTAAGGCATGGGCTCCACAGGCCCCTGCCCCACTGTGGGAAGCTAGGGACCACACCACTCCTGCCTGCAACTAAGACGGTGGGCTGCATGAGCAGAGTTAAGCAGGATAATGTGAGCCAAGGGAATCAAAGCTCTAGTTGGTGCCAAGCCCATGACATGAAACTGAGCTGACCCTTGTAGGCCAGGAAGGGGAGGATCTGCCATCAGGGTGACCTGCTGTCACTTGGATAACACAGTCCCTGCAACACTGTTGGAGCTAGGGATCCCACCATCCCCTCTGGAATGGAGGAAATGCAGAAGAAGGGAATCATCAGAGACAGAACCCATCAACATATTCACAGCATCACTACCCTTGCGGAATTTTGAGGCAAAAGTGCTGGACTCAGTCTGCTCAGTCTCACTAGCAGTTCACACCATCCCAGAAGAAGCACCCTGAAGGGATGCCAGTACCAGTGGTACAGAGTCCCAATGCATAGAGAAACAAACAACAGGGAGAAGGAAAAATTCAATTAAGTAAGCAAGTGGAGAAGGACACATGACAAAAAAAAAAAAAAATTCAGCCACCAGAATGCAATAACAATGACATGGAAGAACTTCTCTGCCTGATTAAAAAATATAAAGAAGACAAAAAGGGGAAAAATGAGATAATTAATAAACTGAAGAATGAAATTGAGTCCTAAAGAAGAAAATGAAAGAAATGCAGGAGATTAAAAGATTAGTGGAGAAGTTAAATAATAAACCTTGGGGGCCCTCCCTGGTGGCACAGTAGGTTAAAACACAGCACTGAGAATCTAAAGCCACTTTCACATGAGTTCGATTCCCGCCTGCCCCGGAGGTGACCACATGGCTTAGCAGACCCCTCCTGACCCGCCTGCTGCTCCCCTCAGCAGTGTACTTGGTCGATCTGCCTGTTCTGCTCCCCACTCTGCCTCTGGTGAAGCCTCTCACAGCCCCTGAGCCTCTGGCCTGTACCCCAGTTCTGTATGCACAAATAAATAAATCTTTAAAAAAAAACCTTGGGGAAAGTAATGAAAACAGAATTGATGAAATGGAAGGGTGAATCAGTACTTTCAAAGATACAGAAATAAAAAGAACCAAAATGGAAAAAGAAAGAGAATTACAACAGAAAAAGAATGAAGAAATGCTTTGAGAACTTTCTGACACCATGAGGAAAGGAAATATAAGAGTTATAGAAATCCCAAAAGGTGAGAAAATATTCAAGGAGATAAGTGAAGCGAACTTCCCAAGCATGAAGAACGGTATGTAAATAGACATACAAAAAGTGAAAAGAACACCAGATTTCCACAATGAAAGGAAAATTACAGCAAGACACAAAATAGTAAAGCTCCAAAGAATCCAAGACAAGGAAAAAGTAATGACGCTCACAAGAGGGCAGATAACCTTCAAAGGAATGCCAATCAGGATGACATCAAACTTCTCCAAAGAAACACTATAGGCAAGAAGAGAATAAAGAGATATATTCAACAAATTCCTATACACCTAATACCAATGGAGAATACTTTATCCTGCAAAGCTTTTCTTCTTCTATGAAAAAATAAGACCTTCACAGATAAACAGAAACTCCAGAAATTCCCACTCCAAAAAATACTACAAGAAGTCCTAAAACCAAACGCAACAGAGAAATGAATAAGAAGCACAGAATAAGTCAAGGAATAAAATCACACACACACACAAAAAAATAGCAGTTACAAATGCTAAAGTATCAATATTAACACTAAATGTAAATGTACAAAACTAATCAATAAAAAGACAGTTGCATCCTGGATTAAAAAACAAAACCCAACCTTCTGTGTCCTCAGGAAACACATTTAACCACAAAAGATAAACATAGCCTGAAAGTAAAAGGTCAGAAAACAATCCTACAAGCAAACGGACAAAAATGGCAGAAGCAGCTATACTTATATCAGGTGAAATAGACTTCAAACTAAAAAGGACAAAGATGGACACTACATTATGACTAAGTGGACAGTACATCAGGAAGATAAAATGCTCATCAACATATACTCACCAAATGAAGGAGCACCAAAATATATGAGACAATTATTATCATCTCTAAAAACAGACGTTAGAGAAAATACATTATAGTACATATATAGATTTCAACACCCCGCTATCACAATGGACAGAACAATGAGACAAAAAAATAAACAAAGACACTAGAGCCCTGAATAAAGACCTAGACCTCATGGACATAACAGACACTACAGGACACTGCACCCAGAAATGTCCAAGTATACATTTTTCTCAAGTGTACATAGATCATTCTTCAGGATTGATCACTTATTGGACCACAAGGTCACATCAACTGACACATTAAGATCATAATCATTCCAACTATCTTCTCTGACCATAAAAGCATCAAATTAGAACATCAAATTAGAAATAAAACATGAAAAGAAAGCAAGGAACCCACCCACCTTATGGAGATTATAATTCATGGGAATACCATTGGATTAAAGAGGAGATCAAAGAAGAAATTAAAAAAATACTTTGAGTTGAACTACAATGAGGACACCACTTTTCAGAATGTATGGGACAGCAAAAGCAGTAATAAGAGGAATGTATAAAGAAAGAAATACAGGCCCACATCAAGAAACAAGAAAGAACTCAAAGAAACAACCTAGCCCCCCATCTCCAAGAACTAGAAAAAGAATGACCAAAAAAAAAAAAAAAAAAAAAGTTGGGGGAAAAAAAAAAAACAAAAAAAAAAAAAAAAAAAAAAGTAGTTGGGGGAAATAATAAAAATCAAAGCAAAAATAAATAAAATAGAAATTAACCCAAAAGTCAGTTCTTTGAAAATATAAAAAAAATAGACAAACCTCTAGCCAGACTCATGAAGAAAAAAATGGGAGAAAACACAAATAAATGGGATCATAACTGAAAAAGGAGAAATTACAACACACTCACTAGAAATCAAAATAATCAGAGATTACTATGAACATTTATATGCAAGTAAGGTCTACCAAAAAGACACCTGCACCCTTATATTTATTGTACTGCTATTTACAATAGGTAAGACTTGAAAACAACCCAAATGCCCCAAAATAGGGGACTGGATAAAAAAGATGTGATATATCTATACACAATGGACTACTATTCAGCAATCAAAAAAAAAATTAAACTAGTGCCATTCACAGCAACATGCATGGAGCTAAAAGGGATCATGCTCAATGAAATATGTCAGAACAAATAAGAAAAATATCAGATGGTTTCACTTATAAGAGGAATATAGAGGAACCAAATAAGGGAGCAGGGAAAATATAACAATTAAAGAAAAACACAACAAAACAAAACAAAAATAAAAGAGACAACAATATATCAGAGACATTCTGTAAGGGAGGGATAGGGAGAAGTATCAAAATGAGAGTGGGAAGAGCACAAGAGACAATGATGGTATATAGATAAATTGGTGTTGGAACTTCTATGGAGACTACACCTGAGAAAAAGCAAACATTGTAAAAAAATGAAAAGTGATGTAAAATAACTAGAAATAAGTAAATTGTTTTTTTAAATCGAGAAAAATTAAAAATAAATAAAGATGGGGTGAAAGAAGGAAAGAATTCAGGCTTCTTCTAGAAACTGAAGATATTCTTACCTAGAACTTCTAAGAGAAACTTAACCCTGCTGATATTTTGATCTTTGTCCAGAGAAATGATTTTAGAATTCTGCTTTCCAGAACTGAAAGACCATAAATTTGCATTGCTTTATGTCACTAAGTTTGTGATTATTGTTCCCAT